GATTGGCGCCTAAAAGGCGCCACCCATGCCCGTACCAAACTGTTGTAAAGCCGCCCAACAGGCTCCAAAGTGTCACCAGAAGAACACCAAATTGGATCTGAAGCATATTTGACGACCAAAAGGCTCGTGTCAATTGGGTGTCACTTAGTCCCTCAAAGCATATTCGGTGCCTTTGTTGTGTCAAAGTGTTGTAATCTTTGTTGCCTATCTGGAGCAAACCCATTTGGCGCTTATCAGGCGCCAATTTGTCGGGGGGGCAAGTTTGTGATGAATCTAAAGCTGGGCACGCGTTTGCGTCGTCTACTTGACTTGCAGTGGGCTTTCTGCAACAAAGTCAGTGTCTTCTGTTCCTACTGTACCGACAAAACGCGGGATTCGGTCGTACTTCAGGCAGCTACGTCCTTTTAATGTGCACAGTAATCGATTTAATGAAAGCCCTCACAAGCTGCGAATCGAGCACTTACAATCTCTTGGCTTTCAATTGACAGCCTATACAAATGATCTTCTAGTAGACGCTTCGTTTTTTCCTGGGGGCCAAAATACGCAGCACTTGACAGACTGAAGCCGACTTGGTTCTCTCAGAAAAAGCTTCGATGCCGACCTCCTACTTTCTGCCATGCCTGGCAAGTGTGGCATAATTGGTACAGCCATCAGAGACTTCATTCCAAACCCGCCGTCCGACGTTCCCTCTTAGAACGAAATTAGCAAGGCTGCTCGAGATCCTCACCTCGAAAACACATCAAACAGAGGGGGAGCTAGGCGCTCTCAAAACCCCGATTTTTTCGCCCCCCCTCCCGTCGACCTTCTTTGAGCTCCACGGCAGCCAGGACCGGACATCTTCCAAGGTGAGTGCGTGCAGCATTGGCTTGCTCTCCTTCGAAACGTAAAGCAGCCCGAATACAAGTGGTACAATAACCCACGACCCCGACAACTGCGAGAACAGTGGCAGCCAGGGGGTCTGTTCCACCTCGTACAGAACCCCCTCATCCGGGAGCTCCATCAGAATCTGGAAAGCCGTGTTGTTGTTGAGGTCAACCCTCTGCTGAGAAGTCAGCGTCGGCTGCGCAAACCCGTACGTCTGCAACCCGCTGAGGAACTTTTTCCCGATCGGCTGGAGCTTCATCGTTGTCCAGGCATGTGGAAAGATGTACATATGGCGAACCCCCGCCTCCGTTTTTGACACTTTGAGTCCCAAGTCGCCCCCCTGCAGGCCCTGGCGCGCCACCGTGATGACGTCAGCACGGCTGGCCCCCAGCCAGGCCGTGAGCTTCGGGCAGAACGAGCTCGTACACGTCCAGGGTTTGTTCGTCGGGTTATTGATGGAGTAAAAGTCCATTTGCAGGGTGGCCGCCACCTTGAGACTGGCTTTGTCCTTCTCTTTAGCCGGGTCAAGGCTGAGCGCGGTTAAGTCAAACCCCATGCAGAAGAACCCCAGCTCCGGAAGAGGTTCCCAAACGCAGTTGGAGTAATACTCGTCTCCGTTCTGACTGAAGGGCAGGGTGCCTTCGGAGTCCCTCCCCGGGCAGGGCTTGAACCACTGTTCAGCAGCAGAATAATTTACACCCCCAAAACGAAATGGGGGGTTTGGCGAGCTGACCAATAAGCGCTGCGCCACCTGGCAGATGTAGAACTCAGGCTGGATGCACGGGCTCGTATCATAAGTGAACTGACTACCGGCGTCAGCGCAGAGGGCTACGTACGGCATGCGGATGGGCACTGTGGTGTCAACTTGCGACACAACTAGGGGGAACTTCTGGAGCTTGTAAGCGCGCGCGATAAGCAGGCCGCAGTAGACGCAATAACCAGCCAATAGGAGGGCGAACCAGAGGAAGGCCCAGCGGCGGGGGGGAATGACATCCAAGGGAGAAGCCATTTCAAAAATTCAGAAGCTGGCTGCAGCGCGCCGCCAAAGCTCAATGTGGAGAGATCAAAAGACAGCACAAAGAGTTACAAGGATAAGCCTGTTGCCGCAGTAGTACTAGCTGGCAGGTTGACTTAGCTTGCATTGTGTAGCCGCCAAAGAGGAAGCAAAGCAGGGGGCTTGGCTGGGGCAAACGAGGGACTAGCAAATGAAGCTACTCCACCTTCAGTTCCTTTTTGAGTGGCCGGTCAAAGTCTTGTCAGACTAGCTTGGTCGGAGGCGCGGTCTACGTCAATGAGTAGATTAGGTAGTGGTCGCAACTACCTAGTAGTACTTGGAAGCTGCCACACCTTGGCTCATGCTAGCTTGGCAAAGCTCCCACGGCGCCGTCCCCCTTGCCACCTTGCACGTTTAGTATATCGTAATACGTCTGCTCTGGAGGATTTGACATCAACTCATGAGCAAATTTCGGCCTGCACATGAGTACTGACGTGCACCTGAGTACCTACGTATACCTAGGTACTTCTTTCTGACCGATGCGACCATCACGAGAATCGAGATGCCGTCGTCAGCGCGGCACTCCTCTCTGTCAT